AAAAATAAACGTTCAGTCAGTCAGAGTTTTGAGAGGAAGGAAAACAAAGAAAATAAATGTTCGTCGGTCGCCGTCACCCAAGTAACTGGCGGCCCTGCCCTACTGCGCACGCGCAGTAGTTGCTTCGTTTACCACACGATAGATGGCGCTTGGCTCTCAGCATTATCAAATTTGGCAATTTTCGCCACACATCTCTAATTATGCTACAAAATGTGGATCTGAATATTATTTAACAAAACTTTTAGGAAACATTCGCCGGCTATTTATTGTTTACGATCGCGGTGCTGGTGAGGTAGGCTCTTACCCAATAGGCGATGTGGATTCGGCTGACGTGCACCGATTCTGCGTATGCATCGTAGTGAACAGGCGAAGGAAGGAAGGCGCAAAAGAGTCCAGTTTTCTTTTAAAAGTTCTATAGCAAATAATTTTTTTGGGCTCCCTATTTTTGTGTTTTTGTGTTTCTTTTCACACCTTTTACGACGTGCGGTGGATGAAACTCGATTTTAAAATCATTTCATGGTCCCTTTAAATACAGTATCTTGAGTTGAGTATTTGAGATAGGCACATGTCTGATATAGCTGTATTGTACTTCCTCAAACTTTATAACTTAATCACTCGCTGTAAATAAATATGTCGTAAATCACTCAAAAGAAACTCAAGCTGCACTTTTTTAGTTGATATTTATCGTACAAGAAACAAAGTAGTCAAATGGCTTTATAAAAACAGTTCCGAGAACCTCCGAAATGATTTGTAGTAACTGTGCCATTTTGTGTGTTACCACGCGGAGGTCGCCTGAAAGCAGAAAAGCTTGAACTTTGAAAGTAACGAATTTTGAAAGCTCATCATATTTTATATTTTATTTCACATTGCCAAAAATCAACAAATCTGTAAATCCTACGTAACGCCCTCGACATGCGCGTTACGGGTCATTATCTTGAATGTGATACTCATAAATATCTGTCATCTACAAGCAGTAATGTATTTCATATTATTATTCACTACACGCCTCTTAAATTATTAAAAAAAGATTAAAAAAATATACAGCTATGACCGTTTAACCTCCAGGGGTCTTCATAACCCGTAAATCCGCCATCGGCATTTGCTCCCTTTTTAGCATATTTAGAGGCTTACAACTGAAAACTAGTGCATATACCTCTAACAGATTGTGTGCTGGCTAAAAGAAATATCTATATAGAACGCGACGCAAAAAAATAACTAAAAATGTTTTTTTTTTTTTTAATACAGTTTGTTGAAATTGAACAAAAAGTGAAAACCTTTTTTTGTCATAATCTATTTCTCAGTGCACGTACGTGGTGTAGACACAAACTTTGCATAATATGGAAGGCATTGGGGGGGATCGGTGGCCGAGTGGGCTAGCGCACACCAGCTCGGAGCTCGTGGAGCGAAATCTCGCGCTGCGGAACCCACGGGGATCCTGAGCTTAATCTCCACCCCTGCCCGTTTCGATCTGGATGAGCATCGTACCGGCGTACGGTTGTGTATCACTACTGCGTGGTGCACGTTAAAGATCCCAGGCTAGCGGTTGTACTGCACTGGCTAAATTGCTCATCTTCAGGGAGTGACTTGTCGCAACTTTAAAATGGATGACCATCTACAGGCTGTATAAACATTCACACAAACCCAATTATTATTGGAAGGCAATGGAAGGTTCTACACGTGCTAGTATTTTAAAAGCGATACTAAACATATTCGACTCAAAATAAAATCCGCAGTTTAGGTCACAGTGGTTCGCGGAGGCTTGTTTGCGGATTTTTACAATGATTGAAAAGACGAATAATAAATAGTACTTGGAATGACGTTTTACTTACTTGCATATATATCACAATAAGAAAGATATATAGAAGCTTTCTTCTGAATACTTTGAGACTGAGAGTGAATAAAAAGAACCATACACGACAATCGTCAAAACCTCGTCGTCCTTTCCCGCTTATTTGAGTTTTTTTTTTCTCAGAAATTAAACGTGTCAGGACATTAAAATAAAATAAAAAAAAAGGATTGTTTTTCTTGGAACATGCGGCACTAAATATAAATATTTGAAGCAATATGAAAAATACAATCGCACCTCGTTGCCTGAACCCGTGTATACGACTTTTCGGTGTAGGGCGCTTCGGTGTAGGACGTTTCGGTACGGACCTTTCGTTGCACGGACTTTTCGGTGCACAGACTTTACGGTGCACGAACTTTTTGGTCTCTCTCTCTCTCTCTCTCTCTCTCTATATATATATATATATATGCATTTTTTTTACTTCACTTTTTTTTTTTAGTTGTCAGCGACTATGTTTATAGCGTATGACGAAGCTTGGGAAACATCTCTGTCCAGGTTGCGGGCTTCTAGGTCCGATTCCCTCAGACCCTGTCCCCGGATGAACATGACGCAGCAATACTTCGCTCTCGGCAAAAGGATTTATTCCCTCACTTATTGCCTGGGAGAATTTCGGGATCGGGAAACTCTTTTCTGAGTTAATATGGCGATGAAATCTATTTGACGGTTTCTCGTTTTGTGTGATGGTGATCCGGAGCATGCTCGTTATATATAGACACACGCACATACACACACGAAAAAACACGTTATTTGGGCCAGTGTGTGCTGAGATCTGCTATCATCCAGCATACGCTTGCTTCCGAACATATTTAAAAGTTTGTGTCATGGTTGCTTTGTATGGTGCGCATTCAGAAGAACACGTCTTCTATATTTGTGTACGCTACCGCTGTTGACAGATGATCAAACTGTCGATGCTACACAATGATTCTCAAGTGTTAAAATACCCTTTGGCTTATAGGCAAGGAGGGCTTGAATTATGATGTATCTGCACCGTTTGGGCATTCAGAAAGACCCTGCAGCCGAACTCCTTCGAGAACCGAGTTCTCAAGAGCTTCCTGGGCCTCAGTGCGGGCGCCCTGCTGACGGTGCTCCTCAACCTGGCCCTGCAGCGCATCTTCCATGGAGGTGGTGCGCCCACCTTCCTTATCGTGCTCGTTGTCGGCACTGGCCTCATGCTTGGCTCGGCCTTCTCCAGCACGGTTCGATGCCTGATGCTCCTCCTTCTTCCGCAGCTCTTCTCAAGTACGCCTTTGAATGTTTCTTTAGGGCTGTCCAAGCAGGACACGTTTTAACCAGTTCATAGGATTTCTTTGTACCGGATGTGGAAGTTTTGCTTCATTTCTGGTCTGCTTTAAATATTGTCTAAACAGGACACAACATGTGCCGTGCAGGGCACTTTCTCTACCGGAAGTGGAGTGTTTCCTCTAATTTCAGATTAATTTAAATTTTTTTTTTTTTTTTTGCCGGGGGCAAAATTACGTTTATTTTTTATCCCTGGAGATGCTTGCAGCGTTCTCACCACTTGGGCCCCATATTTCGACTCACAGGCTCTGCTGGCGGTTGTCAAGGCCTCCGCTGTTGTCGTCAGTCCCCAACCTCTCGAAAGCAAAAAAGGGACGAGACGACAACGAGTAGTAGAGGTGGAAAGCCGTGATGTTTGCGACGTACGAGCGCGCCGCAACGTTCACTTTTTCTAAGAAACGTCAACGCCTTTTTTTCTTCTTTTTATCGTGCACGGCACGTGCTTTGTCTTGTGTGGACAGCCCTTTTGGTCCCTCAATTCCGTCTAGGGTCTTTTTCCGGGAACAAGGGCGTCTTTTATAAATTAATGACAGGTGACAAGTTGGTCGGAGGGATTCCAAGTAGCATCAAGCAAGAATATGTGTTCGCGTGGCGTATTCATGGGACAATATGCAGAGGAGATCGATTGTTTAGTACACATGTATTAAAATGGCCGAAAATGTGAAAATGAACTAGGGGTCTTCGGTAGCGACGACGCTTGGAAGATGGCATGGAGTTTGAAGATGTGTGTGTAAGGTGGGAATGGGGGGAGGGGCTTTGGTTTGAGACTGGGCCAGTGTCTTGCACTCTCTTATAATATGGTGGAGAATGGGGTGCTGATGATGAACAATGCAGAAAGGGCAACGTGAGGGTGCAAGTCTTAGCTACTTGACTATGACATTTGTTGTGATGGCCACTCCGGAGCGAGTTCGTCTTAGGAGGACCATTGCCCGTCATTCGAAGCCCGGTGGCAGTGCCGAGTCATGGCCCGAAAAAAAAAATAAGTTACTCCAGCTGATATAGGTGGTGCGTTCAAAATAGTCTGTGTCGTATACACGTGTTACGTGAATATAGTTTGATTATAACGGTACCTAAAAGGCTACTGAAAAGAAAGAAACATTTTTTTAACAGCCTGGCTGAGACACGGGTGAAAAAAAAATGTATTTTACGCGAAAAAATATACTTTAGAGCAATATTGACGGCGCAAAACGCGATTTAGTCGGTAGTCACCTCCTTCCCACTTGTTTTCTTTCTTGGCATTTCGGGCGGGTGGAGGTGAGATTGATCGGCTTCGCCATCACGTTGAGATGGAGAGTGTGGCCGTGTTCCAAAATTTACTCGATCTTATCCCAGGGTAAGAGTTTTGTACCATGGCGTTCCAAAACCTACCTGCGTCAAGCGTTTTTCAACCTGTGTTGTCACGTGACACGACCCGCCGGAGTAACTCGGGTTCATTTGGGTAAGATTTGGAACACAGCCTAAATGACCATCTCGTTGAAGTGGAAAGAGTGTATGACCATTCCGTGACGTCAAGGACTTGGAATGCAAAATTTAAAATAAATCTCGCGCCGTAAATATTGCTCTAGAATTTATTTTTCGCGTAAAATTAATTTTTTTGACACGCGTGCCCCAACCAGACTGTTAAAAAAAAAAGAAGAAAAAAACATCTTTTTTCAGTGGCCTTCTAAGGCTGAGAAAACAGCCAAGTTTTTTTTTTGAAATTCAACGTTTATTTATAAAACAAAAATGTCGCTCGACACGTCAAAACGCAAGTCTGAACTCAAAGCGTGGTCCGTCTGGGTGAGCTGCATTTTACTGCATGTTAAGGTTGTTACATTTTGCGCACTTACTCGGCTGCTCTATAGGAGAAGGGCGCATGGCGTTGCTATCGTACATCTATTTCTTGGTGTTGACGGGCCCGTCCGAGAACTTCACCGCCAACGTGGAAGTCCTCTCGCGGGGGCTCAGTTGCGGACAGGAGAAGGTGGCCAACGAGACGCGACGAATGCTCGACATCGCCACGTCCCCGCTGAAAGGTTTGTCGGAAACCGCTTTCAAACTTATATAATCAGTGAAGGCTTAAGAACCTCAGGACGTAGCTTCTTATCTTCACGCTTGTAGCTTTCTAATTTGTTTTTGAGCGTTCTTATTGATGATGCCGTAATCTGATTGGTTTAACATGGTTTTTGATCTGTGGGACATTGATGTCATACGTAATCTGATTGGACATCGTTTCTAGCAATCAAATTAGAGGTCCTAAATTTGGCACCCATTGAGAACGCTAAAACTCCCGGTTTATGTGGCATATGCTTCGAACTGGTGCACACTTCATAATCATTGGGGAGGTTTAGCAGTTCGTGTCGAAGCATGCTTCACATGCCCGAAGGTGATAAACGTTCCTACACAACGATTGTTCGTGGCACCGTCAAACATTAGATCACCCGAGTCTGAGTTGTTTCCTTTCACCTTCAATGCTTTCCGCATGGGAGGAGAAACGTTTAAAATACAGTTTCTCTCTTTATGTGAAACCACTTTTTTTTCTTATTCCTTGGATCCTGTCTTCACCCGGCTTCTGGAGTATTTTTGCGGTCACCCTAGTTACTGTCCTTAGAGGTGATGGCATTTCCAGCTGCTCTTAAAGGGCACAGAGGGTCTGGCGATGCACGACAACTCACTGATTCAGGGGATGTCTTTGCTTATGGGAGGGACGATGCGCGGCACAAAACGTACATCGACTCGCACACTTGTCGCTGACCGCGAGACAGCGGCAAATCCCCAACCTGAAAACGTATATTCATTATGCCGCGAACCTTTTTTAAACCGAAGTTTTGATGATCGAATCAAGCAGTTCGAAAGGTTCGAAAGATTTCGAATTTTCCATTTCTTATATCGTAAAATTCGACGAAAGTCGAATTTTCGAACTTCTTAAGCTAAGACGTTCGACGCTTTTCGAACCGTCAAACCTATTACGCTAAAGAATTCGATTATTTTCGAACTTTCCAACTTATCACGCTGCAAAATTCGATGCTTGTCGAACTTCCGAACTTGACTGACCAAAAAAATCGATGATTTTCGAACTTTCGAACTTCTTGCACTAAAAAGTTCGAAGCTTTTCGGACTTTCGAATTTTCTATGCTAAGGCATTCGCTAATTTTCGTACTTTCGAACTTATTTATCAAGAGAATTCGAAAAGTCGCGAACTTTCGATTACTGAAAAGTCAGAAGGTCGACGAACTTCGAACTTTTAGGGTAAAAGTTTGACGTTCGTCGAACTTCGAAAGACCGGCGGACGGTTTCATTTGAATTCAAGTAGTAAGGTACATTCGAAATATTTTTTCTGGAACTTTTACATGCGGTGCTGCGCTCGTTACGAAAGACAACGCCGTTTATTTCAATGTTCTGGCATGCTTAGTTTTAAAGAAATAAATTCCCGTAGGGGCGACGAAGGACGACGGGTTTTTGACGATTATCGTTTGTGCCAGATTTGAAGCGCGCTGTAGTCGAAGCTATTTATGGTAGAGATGTTAAACTTTTTAAAAATGATCTATGTATAACCTAGGTAAGTGTCGTTTTAAGATGTGATTATTGCTATTCAAGGTGACTTTCGAAGAAATGTCCAAACATGTATCTACATGCAATTATGCCCTAAACTTGGTATTTATTTTTGTCTAAGTTGTTTGAGGTATCGCATTTAAATCAACACCACAGAGAGTACATATCATTTCCATCTGCAAAATACAAAATAATGTATTTATTGTTTTTTTTTCACGTTAAGGAATAAATTAACTCATGGGAGAAGGTTTCTAATATTGTTCAAGTTCAGCACGTCGCTAAAAGAAATCTTGTTTTTTTTTCGCTTCACGTTCCTGGGACGTGTTTTTTTTAGCATGTACACATTTTTGTAGGAGAAACTTGTTTCGAAGTTCTGAACCTCTGAATATGCAAGAATACAACACTTCCGGCAAATTCTGGATAGTTTTTTTTTTCTCCAGCTTTTTATTTCCGCATTTATTAATATGCTTAGTTTTTACCATTGGCACAGTTACTTAGGTCGAAAAGACATAGCTTTGAACTTCCGAACCACTAAGCATGTGACGAGAAGTGCCTTCTGGCAACGAGTTTCTAAGAATGACCATCTACGCTATCTTTCGTGCAGTGAAAAGCGACAGTAGCTATTCATATGCATAAATAATTTTAGATTAAAATACGCTCGACCACGCCCTCTTTCCCCGTATTGTTTTCTTTAACAGTCCGAAATATCTGATGTGAAAGGGGGGAAGGTGGCCTGAAGCCCCCCCCCCCCCCCCCTCTTCTTCTCCCCCCCCCCCCCCCCCCCCCCCGTTTTTCCTCTTCCGACGCCATTTGTATGGTAGAACGCTCCTCGACCTCGAGTTGTGTCGGCTACTGTGCTTTTTCTTTATGCGAGGCGATTTCTCCGTCCCCAAAAATAAACCTCCAGGACAATTACAAACTTAACTTACTATATGCCAGAGTCACCTGAGCGGCGTTCGATCGATTACTACCAGCGTGCAAGGGGTGGGGAGGTAGTTTGTCAGGTCGCTTCAAAGTTTTTTAAGCCTCAACCTCCTGCCCACCCCTGGCCGCTTCGAACTGCATGAGTATCGTAAAACAGTGTGTTTGTGTGATCACTACTGCGTGATGCAGGTTAAAGACCCCCCCCCCCCCCCCCCCCCCCCCGGCCTGGCGGTCACAATTACTGATCTATGGCCACACGTCACTCTGAACTGGCAAATATTCCAGCACATCCGGGACACTCGTGGTCTCATTTAATTGCCTGACCAACTTCGCAGAGTCTAGATATTACACCCTAACTTTTCTAATCTTGATTTCGGGAAAACCAATGAGTCGTGAAACGTTTATTTGAAACTGAAACTGTGGAGGAACTTGAAAACCGGACTTCGAACTTTGAAAACTTGGTCTTGAAAGGAATTCAAAATTTTCGAAGGTTTTATTTTTTTTTATTTTTCGAATTTAGCGTTAAAAGAGAATCGAAACCTTCGAACTTTTCGACCTTTATGCAGAAAGAAAATCGGAATCTTTGAATTGTTCCAACTTCATGTCTATAAAAATTCGAAGCGTTCGAAGTTTTTGAATTTTATTTCCAAGGAATTCGAAATCTTCGAATTTTTCGATCTTCAGATCCCAAGAAATTCAAATAGTTCAAATATCTCGAATTTCAAGGTAGGAAAGTTCAAAGTCCTTGAATTTATCGAACCTCAAGTAAAACAATATTCGAAATATTTGAACCCGAAATTTTAGAAACCGTGAAGAATTCGAAAAATCGCAACCAAAGTTGCGATTTTTCGAATTCGAACCTGGGTCGGTATGAAAATATCGAAATGTTTCGAAATCTAACCACAGCTCGCTTTGCAAATATCGAAAACTTTCGAAATCGAACCTAGGGTAATTCGCGACATCCCTAATATTCATCATAATTTCTTTTCTTTTTTCTCTCTTTTTTCTTCCTTTGTTGTTAATGAATGGTACTTAAACATAACTGTTTCGTTTCTATTTTACTACAATAACGATTAATTATAATCACTGATATTATAAACTGTTTCATACATGCTGTGATCAAGTGTCAAAGCCATTTATAAAACTTCTTACTGTATATATTTAACTTTTGTTTAATAATGAATACGTCTCATGTCGCTTGCAGCGGTCTATGACAAAATCAAGAAACTCATGAAAGTTATCCTGGATTTCGGCGCCCTGATGAAGAAAGCATTTTTGTCCATCAAATCGCTCTTCAGCGAAATTTGTATGTACCAGTTCTTGACCTCTTATCGAAACAAAAGTACGTGGAGCTATCTTGATTCATGCTGTAAACCTAGGCCTGTGTTTATATCGAAAGAAATAGTTTCACACTTTTGTATTTGTTCACTCTTTTCAGTACACGACGCACTGAATCTCGTAAAGTGGTCAAATTTTACTGTTCTCAGACCTGGAAGGAATCGCTTTGCTTAGGCGTTATTTTCTAGTTAAAGAAACGAGCATTTATACTCGTTCCTCGTGAATTTGCCTACTGCAGTTTTCTTGCATGTGGATGTTTCTCCTGCACACAAATAAACTATGTTCTTATATGTTTTTTTAGTTAAAAACAGGCATTCCATCTTCTCTCTTGTAGATGTTCCGGGCATGTCCCCTGCATGTTTTCTACGTGTGCATGTTTCTTATGCGTGCCACAGTGTAGACACAAGATGCCTTTGCTCCGCGTTCTTGGTCACGCAGTTGGAGCCATTCGGCGTGCGGTGCAGTGGCTCTACAATCTGGTGAACGTGTGCAACCGGCGCATGGGGGAGCCTTACGAGAAGTGCCGGAAGCCGCTGAACGACGCCCACGAGGACTGCCTGAGCATGATGCCCTCCATCCTGTCCTGGCTCTGCTCGCCGGTCAAGCTGGTCGAGTACGTCTGTTACGTCGCTAAAGGTACGCGGTACTCGGAGCAGCACATTTCCTGCACCATGCGTGCTCTGCTTGCGTGTAATGTATGCACTTCGCTGCGCATTGTAAATGCCAATTAAGCTGGAGCTAATTTCTGAAGACCTCGTATAGGCAGCGATTTCGGTGAAACCGATAAACACTCGTTGTGAAAAAATAAAATAAAAACCCATACATAGAGGGATAAAAACGAAGCGACACGGACTTTAGTTATAATAAGTTCATATAAAAGGTGGAAGAGACCAAACACTCTTCATTGCATGCATTTTCTTTTTGTTTTTGCTTCGTAAGTGAAGAACTGCTACCAAAGGGAATTCTGTAAGACAGCTCAAAGGCGAAACTGATGGCTGTTCCAGTCATGTGATTGCTGCTCCATACTGCGCCAAAGCATATACCCAGCTACATCCTGCTACATTTTGCCAAAATGTGAGGCATTTGCACCAACATTGCGGCAAAATTTATTTTCATTTTATTAATAATGCAATTTATTAAATCAGGCCCGTTACATGACCGGATCGTTACGGTAGGCTGTTGCGAATTTCCAAAACTTTCGATTATTACCTTAAATAACATGATATTCGTTTTGATTGACAGTGCTCGAAAGCTTCGAAATATTTCTCATGCTCGTTGTATGTTCTAACCAGATAACTAGCACCGTTAAGTGCGCTTTTCACTGCGTACTGCAGTGTCGCGACAACCGCGTAGTAGGCGTCGGAATTTTGTATATCTTGCTTTGCCGCAGTGCACCCGCAAGCTAGGGGGAAATCACTCCCCCATAGCAAAACGTGATACAAAAATTAAAAAAAAAAGGAAAAGAAAACGGCGGTTAGTATTTACGATAATGTATTCCAAAAATATCTTTTGCACATTCAGGATTCATCAAGGATACTTAAGTACTGCAAAAAAAAAAAAAAATGTATGAACTGATCTAATGTTTATCTTTTATGTCAAACTTTTATATACTGTTTATAGGTACGTAAAGGTTCATATTGGCTTTATATAGATTCCATCCTTTGGATTGCATACTGAATGCAAAAAATTGAAATTAATCTAGCTGGAGAAGCAAATGCCAGCCTAAAAATCCTTCGAACAGAAGCGGCAGGATTTTTTAAAATTTTGTAAGAAAGCATAATTATTTTTTACATGCTGACTTTTCTTCATGACGTTCTGCTTCTAAAGTGTCATTATATGTTCATAATCAAATGAAAAAAGCTTTGCATTTTATCTAAATTAAAAATCGCAGTTTGATTGGAACCTTTAGACCATAAAGTAAACATCAATTTGAGTGCTCGAAATGATTATGTTCTATCATTTCTCATGGTATTATGCCATTGTTTGTTTTCGTAGTTAAAATAACCACACACAGCAGTTTGTACTGCGCTTCATCGATCCGCATCTTGTTACTGTGCCTTGTACTTATAAACCAAATTAAACTGCTAGCTAGCGAATCAAACCTGCCATGCTGTTGACGCCATCGGAAGGTTAAACAGAAGCAGGAACGGAAAGAAGACATAAACACACCCAGTACGGGTTCTTTGCTGGGTCACCTTGTGCCGTCCGGGTTGCCAGGTCCGGATTGAGTGGCGAACCTCGTTGTGGGAAGCTGTGTGGGTCTTGTCGAAGACGAAGTAGCTTCCCTTGGCCGTCGACGACTAATTCAGTTGAACTCAATAAACAATTGAATACTTTTCTAGAAAATGAAAATACATAAAAGAAACAATATTGCAAAGAGGCAACTTCCCCTGTAGGGGCAGGGAGAGAGGTGCTCGGGTATTAGCTTATCCAAGCTCGGGATTTCGCTGGCGCGTGGGATTACGACCCGATTGCGGGGACAAATGTCCCTCGGAATCCCACGACCTGACTCGATTCCGGAACGTTAGCTCTCGAGCTCCAGCACAAACTACACTCACTTGCTGCGTTTCCACTCCTAATCACCCATGGGCCCACCCCTTTTAGTGGACCGGCGAATCCTCGACGCGTCGTCAAACAGGCGTTTCCCACTGGCAACCAATCGGCTCACTTTCTCACCACGGGCCATTTGCATACATTCCCGCGACCCCGCGTCCTGCGTATATCTCACGGCCAAAGGTCAGGCGGGTTCGGAATCAAGGACACTACATCATGCAAGTCAGACAGCCGACCCCGGTGTGGATAGCGCCGACTAACTGAGCCATCCCGTCGTTCATTCTGCCAGAGGCAGACAAACGTTGCCATTCTGCCGTGAACCCCCCCCACGCGGACAAGAAGGACTACACCGATGTAAACGGTGCCGGCCAATGCCGCTGCGTTCTCCCGGCCAGAAACGCACGCTGCGATTCTCTCGGCAGAAAACTCGCATTCCAAACCTTCCGTCATAACGCATGCCTGCCTCTCGAGGTCGCCCATCACGGGAGGTGCTTACGCCAGCGCCTTCCTACTAGCCAAGTCCCTCTGGTGCTAACGACCCAGCCGCGGAGCTTTCGTCGATCCTTACACATGCATGTTAACATAATATTCGCTCTGGCATGAAGGAAAATTAAATGTGTGCTTATGCTGGAAAAGTAAATTTTGCGGCTCCAAATTGGGCTTTCGGCTGTTCCAAAAGGTTTTCCCAAAATTATTTAGACCAATAACGTCACTGCTGTTCCTGTTTGTCTTCACAATGGGCTCAGTTTTGCATCCTCAGCTGCTCTTAAGCAGTGTTGGCGGTAACGCGTTACAAGTAACGGCGTTACCGGTAACGCGTTACTTTTTTGGTAACGTAGTAACGTACTCGTTACTTTTCCAAAGAAGTAACGGGTAACGTACTTATGTTACTTATTAGGGAGTTTTCGTAGATCGTTTTCGCCGTCCCGCAAGGGCCTCCGCAACCCGCTACGATAGCGGGAACTCCACAGTCAAGCCTATCGGCGCGCAGGCGCAGTAGCAACTTCTTCTTTGCGGAACGCTTAGCGGAGTGGGCAACGCGGTCTACGAAAACTCCCTAATTTGAGTAACGTGTAACGAAATTACGTTACGTTACTTTACTTCCTAGAGCTTAAAAAAAATTAAATTTTAATTTTTTTTGTGTGTGTTTTTAAGTGCCCAGTCATAAAATCCTTAGTCCAAAAATGCCGCTGTCCTCCACTTTTCTTTGACGTCGGTGCTCGTCAGATTTGACGTCACACGTCACCTGCCACTGGTTTTCTCCCGCGGCTCGCTGACCTCGCTACCGCCGTCGCCTCGGCTGGAAGGCCAAGGAGGTCCGGCTTCGAGTGGATTTGGGAGATTCCTGCGTCGAAGCCTGCGTTTCGCTTCCCGCTGGGAAAGAGAATGACACCCTCGTGTCATTTCCTTTCCCGTTTTTCATGTTATAAATCAGCTTCATATATACTTCCGCGTTTTTTCTTGTAACTATTTGGGTGAAACCCTAAAAAAGAGAGGGTAATTAAGTTTCCGCATGGACATATTTTGGCTATGGCGCTTACGCACATATCAAACGTCGAAACAGCGAATGTTTTAGTTCGTGAATAAAAAGTAATGCAACAGTAACGTGTGTTGCTTTTTATCAGTAACGGTAACGGTATCGCGTTCCTTTTATTTTGAGGTAACGTAGGTCGGTAACGCGTTACATTTATTTGCAAGTAATGAGTAACGTATTTAGTTACATTTTTTCGGTAACGCATACAACACTGCTCTTAAGTCATGGCTTTCAACAGAACTTCGTTGTTGTAACCTTTATCTTTGTTTGACTTCCTTTCCCCACAAGACGAAACATCTGTATCTTAATTTCGAAACTAATATGTGTCCTTGTGCACTCCGCTCTTTGCTTTTATAACCATATATACTAAACAATAAAACCACAAGTCACCATTATGAGTCAAGCCTTCTAGTTTTGAGTGATTACAGCTCTATGGCTTAGATTCTAGGCAATCTAATTTTAAAATATAAATGAACCAAGGTTAATTATTAAGAGAAATGAGCAACCAAACGAAAAGGGAAAGATACAATAGAGTAACAAATGCCTTCACGATTTCAGTGGTCATGGACTCGGTCGATTAGCAAATACCGGACTTGAATTCACTTTGCCGCCCGCTTGAAGATACTGAGTGATTTCTGTCCGCATCGAACTTCTCGCCGCTGCCACCGTGACGGTAATTTTGCGCGCTTGGTTACGACGACTTTCATTAACGCCGTTCTTTTAATTAGATTTGAGATTACTGCAATTTCTTAGTCTCACCGTGGTATCAAGCTGCCAGTCGTTGAAACGAGTGACGATAGAAATACATAAAACTTGGTTTGTGAATAAGAGAATTGCGGTTGTCTATAGAAGTGCAGCGACTTCGCGCATGACCATAGCGATTAAGTAAAGTAGCCAAAATAAGTCGAAACAAAATTAGAAGCTCCTTTATTCCTTTATTTCTGGGTCGAGCGACCTGTGTTCTCCGCGTCATGGCTGTTGTTGCCAATCCCTGAATTTTGTTTAGGATTTAGGTTTGGGGGTTATCAAAAATCTCCTGATAAGGCTCAGAACATTGCCGTTAAAACAGTCCCGTTCCCCGCCTTTGCTTAGCTGTGATCCGCTAAAATAATAATAATAAAAAAAAGCAATGGTTAACAACATGCTTTATAAAGCGTCCTCACATCTCTGCACAGCGCTCAGACAGAAGTTTTGTAGGCCAGGAAATGAAGCATTTTGAACGAGAAATGTATCCGTACCAAAACACTGGGCTGTGAAAACGCAATGTCCGGTATTGGAAGAGCGTATTTCTTGGGACGAAAAGTATTCTAGGTCGAGTCTCCAACATTTCCGCATAACTTGAAAAAAAAAAAAGAAAAAAAGAAAGCGAGGATTAGGTTTTTTTAAAATTTAATTACTGGTAGTGAGTGAGGCCCATGAGAACTTTCCCCACTGAAGGAATGTACATTGACGGTGCGTTTTCACGTGCTATGCTCCGATGTTTTGATTGACTTGGTGGCGTTGCAGCTTTCGCCACTTGAAAAGGCGGAAGCTACGACAGTTGCCGAGC